ATTACAAAAAATAATTGAATATATAATTAAACATATATAAAATAATAATTGAACATATATAAAATAATTTTCATAATATCAAGTGACGGGACGAACAAGTCGTGCTCCTGATGGTAACTATACACGCCTGTCCATAACAGTTGCGGAGCCACTTAGAGCTCTAAATAACAAAGATCTGAGATGTACTGCCGCTGTACCCGTCACCCTGAGACATATGTTGACAAGTCCCATGTGCCTGTAATTTCACCAGCACCCTTATTTACCCTTCAAAACCGGAACACATTACTGCTTGGCGGCAGAAATAGGTAACGTGGCAGTATTTCCCTGGTCGAACTCTTTCACAAGGAGCTCTACTGCTACTAATTCAATACAAATTTAATTTACTGTAAGTAGTGGAGGGTTGAGTAGTTTGTAAACTGTCCTGGTTGTGGCATCAGATCAAGTTTTCCATATTATTGTAGCGTTATTGGATTCAGATCGTACACCCAATTGCAAGTGGGTCGGCTAAGTGGAAGTAACCAATATATATTTTATGGCTCCCTAGATATATATAGATCCCTAAATTAACTGGAAAAAAAGCTGATGATCTTTAAACAACTAAAGGGATGTTCATCAGACATAGACAGTAGACTCTAGACGCTACTGTAGCGCTTCGGGAATGTTTACCGAGGTACACTAAAGTCATTTTGCGGAAGCGGGTAGCGTCTCTAATGCGCAGAATGCGGGGCAGCGCCAATGGCCTTCTTCGTACAGAGGTCGATAGGAACGATACGCCCATATAATAGCAATGGGTACGGGTACACGTCAATGTTTAGAGGATTTGTATTAACATAGTTTGCAAGTATTTTGTTACTAACACTATATGGATATTTTGTCCGAAATAAAGATTTGAATTGAATTGAATAACTCCCCTCTTTTTGCGTCGGGGGTTAAAACAGTCGACTTCGGCATGCATATCGTAATGAAATTGAATATTTGTAATAAAAAAATACCAGGTCAAAAGTAAGAACAATAATTAAGATTACAAAAAGCCTCAATTCGGAGTGACGCGTGACAAAATAAATTTTTATGTATACTGTTAGCAAAGACATATATACACATAGGGTGCACTATAAGTTTCCGGAACTGGTCACTTACATAAACAATATTTAAAAAGTAATTACAACATTTGAAAATGGAATTCTTTGGCTGTAGGATACAGTTTGTTTCATCTGACTGTCACTTGTTTTTACATCGTGGCGTCATTTTAGAAATTGGTTGTCTACATCACCATGGATTTAACTCGTGAAAATTTTCGTAGTATGATTTTCTACGACTTTAAGTGTAATTTAACAGCTCAGCGGGGCTTTGCTCGGCTTCAAACTGCTTTTGGCAATGAAGCACCATGCAAGACGACTATTTATAGCTGGTTTGCAGAATTCAAACGCGGTCGTGTGAATCTCAATGACGAATTACGTGATGGTCGCCCATCCACTGCTGTGAACAACAAAAACATCGATGCTGTGCGCTGTATGTTCAAAACAGATAGGCATGTGACATACCATGAAATTTGAGCATCTTTAGGCATATGCATGAGTCAAATACAATCATTACATAAACATTTGGGTGTGAAAAAGCTGTGCTCTCGATGGATCCCGCACAATTTGACTGAGGCTCAAAAAACGGATTGCGTCACTTAGTGCAATGCCATGATTACCAGATTCAACGAAGGGGCGTCAAATTTGATGTGGGACATAGTAACAAACGACGAAAAATGGATTTATAGTTACGATCCCAAAACAAAGCAGCAATCGAGCGTATGGGTCTTTCGAGATGAGCCGAAACCAACCAAAGTGGCGCGCGTGCAAAGTGCCTCTAAGCGGATGATTGCTTCTTTTTTTAATAAAACTGGACACGTGGCTACTGTTGCTTTGGAGAATCGTTGTGCCGTGAATAGTGATTGATACATGACCATTTGTTTTCCGGAAGTTATTGATAAACTCCGTAAAAATAACCGTAAACACCGTATTATCTTGCACCACGATAATGCCAGTTCTCACACGGCCAGACAGATTTATGAATTTTTGAAATTGAACAACGTTGACCTTATGAGCTATCCCGCGTACAGTCCCGACTTGGCACCTTGTGACTTTTATTTATTTCCAAAAATTATGAACCCGTTACGCGGTCAACGATTTTCATCACCTGAAAAGGCTGTCGAAGAGTATGAAAAATATGTTCCAGAGATTGTCACGGAGGAGTGGCATAAATGTTTTCAAAATTGGTTCATTCGTACGAAAAAGTGCATTAACGCTAACGCAGAATATTTTGACAAACAATAAATTCATTCTGACCATTTACAGTATTTTTTTCTTATTCGTTTCCGAAACTTATAGTGCGCCTCACGTACATATGTAGCAATAATACAATAAATTTATTCTCGAGGTTAAAATTCTTTAGTACAAGAAGAGTACTTTCAATCTTATTTTATATAAAAGAGCATAATACGTTAATCCCCAATAACTACATGAAACTCCTCTGGTATGAATCACTCGATTGAAATAGTTCTTTATTTATTTATAAAACACTAACAAAAATATTAACATCTTTAGTATAAAATTCAAGTGGCAAATGTATAACTTTGCCACATCATATTGTTCTTTCTATTGTGATGGTAAGTAAGAGAGTTACGGCATTTTACAAGCATTTTAGACTCGCTAACAGTCTTCTAGAAGCATAAAATAATAGGTTATGCTTTCCACTGTTTAGCTACGGAGAGCTCAAGCCACGTGACCAAGTTTATTCTTCAGCTTCGTTCGTTCAAATCGCATCGGTTTGACACGCGTGTCGGTACAGTTGCAATCAACACTGTATCCGTATTAGTGATTTTCCATCGTCATATGTTCCCGTAAAAGTCCACCGTTTCAAAAGACTATAACTTTGGCCCTTTTAGATAAAGGTTCGCTCTTAGTCAGAGTTCGAAATTGCCAAGATATTAATTTGCTTTGATAATTATCATAATAATTATCCATGCTGATTCATAGTTTCATCTCTTTAATTTTTGACTAAAAATGACAAACAGAAAACTAAATAAACACGAAGATTTGCCTTACCTATTTCTGCCGCCAAGAAGTAATGTCAAAATAGTAATTGTTTTCCAGTTTTAAAGGGTACGGGTGCTGGTGAAATTAGAGGCACATGAGAATTGTCAACTTATGTCTCATGGTGACGGGTGCAGTGACAGTGCCCCTCAGATCTTTGTGATTTAAAGCTCTGAGTGGCACTGCAACTGTTATGGACAAGTGTGTAGCTTATTATCAGGCGCACGACTTGTACGTCCCGTCAATTGACATTATAATTGAGAGTTTTTTTAGATTGATTTCGATACCTTTGGGTATGTCTCTCGGATACAAAAACATGGCACGATATTGCTAGCGGTGTTCTTTTGTTGTTCCAATTAATTTTATAAATTAGACATATATTTATCATGATAATTATTGTGATAAAACCACGGTGATTATTACTTACACAGCATTATTACTAGAACAGCTCCAAAACGGTAAAGCTCTAGGTGAAGACGGAGTTAATACAGAGCTTCTGAAGTCTGGAGGAGTCCTTGTTATTAAGGAACTTCGGAGGATCTTTAACTCTGTCGTCTACTGTGGGAGAACTCCTTGGGCGTGGAACAGGAGTATAGTAGTTCTCTTCTTTAAGAAAGGAGAGAAATGTCCACTTAAAAACTACAGCCCCATCTCTCTCCGGAGCCACATCTACAAGCTGTTTTCTAGAGACATTCATTACGAATCGTCTCGCTAGAAGACTCAACGAGTTTCAGCCACCGGAGCAGGCTGGGCTTAAACGGGGATACGGCACCGTAGCTCACATACACATAGTGAGACTGATTATACAGAAGACAGAAGAGTATCATTATAGAGTATAATCAGCCCCTTTGTCTTGCCATTGTGGACTATGAGAAGGCCTTCGATTCCGTCGAAACCTGGGCTATCTTGGAATCCTTACAGCGATGCCAAGTGGACTTTCGTTATAACGAAGTGGTGAGATACCTACCTGTATGACGCCGCTACCATGAGTGTCCAAGTACAGGGCCAGCAGTCTACGCCCACCCAATTACGCAGAGGAGCTAGACAGGGGGATGTCATATCCCCGAAACTGTTTACAGCCGCATTGGAAGTCATTTAAGACGCTGGGCTGGAAAAGGATAAACATAAACGGCGAATACATTTCACACTTGCGATTCGCAGATGACATAGTCCTAATTGCGGAGGCGCTGGAGGAGCTACAATGAATGTTGGACAGCCTATCATCTGCTTCGCAACGGATTGGACTCAGCATGAGCTTGGATAAAACGAAAGTCATGATCAATGATCATATTGTCCCGAGACCAATCGTAGTACATGGCCACCTTCTTGAAGTTGTTTCCGAATACATTTAAAAACAACTTCGAAAGAGAAGCTAAGGGGAGAATTCAGCTGGGCTGGGCAGCGCTTGGTAAACTACGTGGAGTCTTCTCGTCACCCATACCGCAAAGTTTGAAAACAAAGGTTTTTAATCAGTGCGTTCTACCTGTTATGACAACGGAGCCGAGACGTGGACACTCACGATACGGTTAGTTCACCAGTTGAAAGTCGCCCAGCGAGCTATGGAACGATAACCGAGGGGGGAAGCGAGTTCTTGTGGAGTTTCTACGGCTCGGAAAACGTAGTGTAGGATGCCCTATGACCAGATGGAGTGACGATTTGCGAAGGGCTGCTGGTAGATGGATGCAATGAGTCGAGGACTGGGCGAAATGGCGGCCAGTGGGAGCACAGTGGCGCTACTTAAGGTTCTGTACAACAGCAGAAATTAGTTGTATAAATGACTTACTTAGGATTATTTTAACAAATAAGGAAAATACCTCCAAAACACGAATCGCACTTATAATTTTTTCTAACGTGTTCTGTGGCCGCTGACGTTGATCAACGAGGAGTATTACAGAACATTGTATTGTTTGTAATTCCCAGGGCGAAGAGCGAGTGCATGGCAATTGTGACCAATGACAGCATGTTGTATAACGACACTATCGATACTTCATTCAAGCGCGTGCTGCGACAGGTAACTATTATGTGTTTGGATATTATTTAACTTTAAATGAACATTATTTCTGCATAATGGTTCAAATGAATAGCATTTAAATCATTATGATTGTAAATGTCCTAAAGGTAGTGTAAGGCGCATACATTTTATCCAGTTTTATTTTTTATATCCGCAAAATCAAATAAAGCCTTTGTATACTGTCAAATAATAAAGGTAATTGATTTTTAATAATAATCATCTCAGCATAGAGTACTAAAAAAATCGACCTCAAAATTTCGTGGAATTACATATATATGGCAAGTTTTATTGAAATCGGTTACTTTACGGAAATTTACGCGAAACTGGATTCATCCCCTGGTTTGCCACCGTTAGAGGTGGAATATTTTATTCAAATTAAATGGGATCAATACTGAGGTACCCTGTTTCCATTAAAAATCAGATTCATCAAAATTAGTTCACAAATGCTGGAGGTATCGCGCAACATACGTACAAAAAAAGAAAAAACATACAATTGAATTGAGAACCTCCTTTTTGAAGTTGGTTAAACATAGATCTAAAATATTAAGGATCTAAAATATATAGTTTTCAAAGAGAAATTGCTTAAGTAAATCGCTTAAAAAGGAATAAGCAAAATTTGTTTCAGAAAAAATTGTGCGCGCACTCGTCTAGATTTACACAAATGTTTTTAAACTTCTGTGCAAATGGCGTGTACCACATTGCGCGGGAATCCGTATGACATACCCTACGATAAGACAATGCCAAGGTAAATGTAATTCAATGACAGATCATTAAACGTTGTTGTTCATGGCGATTGTTTATTTAAAAAAACTCTTGATCCATACACACTTTCCAGTTCCACAATCAACTTGGTGTTTTCTTGTTATTGTTTCTGACACGTCCACTATGTTTTAGATAAATTATTTTCTGCAAAATTGGTCTCAATATACATTGTTCATTAAAGTGTTATTCATACATGATGTCTACATCATTAAATGCGTGTGCAAAATATACATACATGTACATAAATGGAAAGTAAAACCGGAACCGATGATAAAATTCCACTTACGCTTGGAGACACGGAACACGGAAAGTGATCTCTTGCCGGAAATAAGCACCTATCGAAGAAGTCCATTCTGTGATAATAACTAATAGAAATAAATTCAATGATTATATTCTGGCATAAAAACTGCAAACAAACAATCACCTTGCTTTCGTCATTATAGTTTCCGTGTGGTTAATGGCTTTCATTTGTGCTGAAAGTCCTTGAAGTAAATTTTAAGGTTATAACACCAATAAAGTATGGTGCGAAGATAAAATTATCTTTATCATCTTCTATTTGCATTAAAAAAAAAGCCATAGCACTTAAAAAGCGTTTGAAAAAATGAACCAAAATCGATATAATCACTCAATCGTATAATTTTAACTGCCTCCGTAGCCGAACGATTACTATGCTGGTCTGCCACGCATAGGTCCCGGGTTCATTCCCCGGGGCGGGGAGAAATGTTTGCATGGCCTACATTTATTTCTCTTGTGAGTTAGGAAGTAATTTGTGGTTGTCTATGTGTGTCCATGGTACCAGCGATACAGGGTTCCACAATGCGAGGCTATAAGTGCGTGCTTTATTATGTAACTTGTTTTTACAACGAACGTTGATTCCGTTTTCAAATTTGATTATCACTCTCTTTTTAACCGACTTGAAAAAAGGTGGAGGTTCTCAATTCGACTGTATTTTTTTTGTATGTGTGTTCCACGATAACTCTTTTGTAATTTGTAAATAAAATAAAGAATAATATATTAAGCTAAAATTTGTAATTTGTAAACCGATTATGATGATCCTTTTTTTGTTTTAAAGAGGGTACCTCAGTAATGGTCCCATTTAAATTTGAGGAAAATATTCCACCGCTAAAGGTGGCAAACTAGGGGATAAATCCGGTTTCGCACGCCACTGATTTGAAAAAAACTTGGCAAATGGATAAAACTTCACGAATTTTTTACTTTTGTAGTCGGTTTTTTTTTAGTACTCTGTACTGCGATTATTTCTTCTAATTTTGCCCACTCACACCCAACCCACCCACAAATAATCACTACATTTTCTACTTTTACATTTTTGTGTTTTTTGGTTTTGCCCTACTAAACTGCAGCAGCAGTTAAACTGGAATAATTTATTTCATATCTCGTCACTCGCCCTAAAGACACACGATGTTTCTAACGAATTTAGTTTTTTTAATAGTCGACGAAAACAATACGCGTTAAAGTTACCGTGTGACCCTAGTACAAAGTTTCCCAAAGTGATCCCTACCTAATGGCCGCTAAAAAATACTTATTTTGACGGTGGTGGGTGTTGAAATTTTTTTGTCTTACCTAAGTGGGATGTGAGCCAAAAAGTTTGGGAACCTACGGCCTAGTAGGACTCTGCAGTACCAAAATGGCTAGGGACACCGTATATCTCTAGGGCGAGTGACGTGTTTCCTATAGTGCGGGGCTTCCTATAGTGAGTGTGTGCGTTATTATTATTAATTATTTTAATTCTTTGCAGCCAGAAGGTGTGGTAACTTTCCCATGGACAGCCCAAGAGCAGGCATACATCATTTCTTTTTATTTCTGGGGATATGCCCTCACCTGTGTCTTCGGCGGACCGGCTGCTGAGCGATGGGGCCCGCGCAATGTGGTGTTCCTCACTATGCTATTAAGTGCCGTTTTGACTATCTTCAGCCCGCAAGCTGCAAGGCTACATTACCTGGTGTTGGTGGCTGATAGATTCGTCATTGGATTATTAGCAGTAAGTCTGACATCTGATATAACATGACTTTTGTAGCAGTAGATCTTGAGTTCGTCCATGGAAGTACTGCCATCTTACCTATTTCTGCCGCCAAGCGGTAATGTCAGCATTACTGTTTTCCGGTTGTGAAGGGTGCTGGTGGAAGTACAGGCACATGGGACTTGTCAGCTTATGTCATGTGAGCACAGTGACAGTGATCCTCAAATGCTTTCCGATGTAAAGCTCTGAGTGGCGCTGCAACTGTTATGGACAGGCGTGTAGCTTACTATCAGGCCCACGACTCCCGTCTCGTCACTTGATAATAAAAAAAATCTAGTGGTCGTATAACCGGAAGCATATTTACCTACAACTCAATTCGGTGCTCGCTAACGCGCTTTTGTGTCGAAATTCCGCGACCTACCGGGGGAATTTAGTGAATTATTAAGTATACACGTTATTACTAAGTATGATGACCTCTGTGGTCAAGTGGCTTCCACACCGGTTTTCATGGTGTCACCATCTCTGACGTCTCGGGTTCCTGATCCCCGGCTGGGTCAGTGTAGAAAAAGTTATTTTAGTGTTATCTCGGGTGTGGGTGGTACCGTAACCAAAGTGCTTTAGCTACTTACTTTGGGATCAGAGTAACGCATAGGATGTTGTCTATTATTTATGTAATTATTCATTACACAGTCGACCATATGTAACATTTAAATTAACTTTCATCACCATGTAGAAAGAGATAATGTAAAAACATCCAGTTTTGTAATCGTAATTATTTTTTACCAAAACTATTATTTTTTAAACATGTAAGTGCGTTTTTGACCTCTATCTCTCTGATGGTAAGTGACGATGAGGTCGACGATGGAGCATGCACACCTTAATAATGCCTATTCCCTCTCGCCTTGAAAAGGCCCAAGTTAGAACGTTCGTACCATCGTTAAAGTTTAAATTTAACTTTTCTAGCTGTTCACAGAACTAAGATCAAGTTATATTCCTGGTCACCATCAAACCTTTAGTATACCAAAATGTTATGTATTTAAAATATACAAATCGTAAAACGTCAAGCCGAAAATTCTGTCATCCGGGGATTGAAAGAAGAAACATATATATAAAGGAGCAGCTATCATATTTTGACAGAAATGCCTCGTGCATTGCAGCAAAAGGTTAAATTTAGGTATAAAAGCATTCGGATATCCGACCACTAGTTACAACTTGCTCTCATTGTGATATATTAAATAGCATGGCAAGCACGTATATTCATCATAAGAATTAATGAAAGAAATATTCTTTATTGCACGTTGAAATTGCCGACACAGAATAGTAAAGTAAGTATCGCATAGTGAGCTAATGTCCAAGAGGCGGTCTTATTGCTAAGTAGCAATTTCTTCCAGGCAACTTTAGAATAGAAGCCTGGTAAGGGGGTGCCACCAACGAATATCTTCTAATGGAATCTGTTTTAAATAAATATTTATTTTAAATATATTTATTGTCTTAATGAGTAGTGTCGTAAAGAAAATAAATATATAAATAATATTCATAAATTATAATAATAAATACATAGTATATGTTATTAGCAGTGATCGTAATTGAGGGAGTAAATTGAGCTAAACTCTTTAGTTTATATTAATAGTGTGGATAATAAAAATGTGGACATTCCCTTCTACAAATCCCAGGACTTCTTGGAACTGATTATATTTGAATATGTGTATTATTTATTGAAATTTGAGTACATTGGCGACAAATTATTATTGCTTTTTAATTATTTGTTACAAATTATTGTCTTAGAAAATAATAATGAAGTAATATAGTAAATAATATGAATTTGAGTAGGTTTATTTTACCTGTTATTTTTTTACTTTTCTGCATAATGTGCCAAACAGTCATACCAATTGCCTGGTCTCAATCTAGTGAATTCCCTCTACTATGACTATCAGATATATCAACGAAATTCGCTCGGCGGCACTTCCCAGAACACCCAGATAAAAACGTCATGACCATGAGACCAATAAAGGGCCTTAAACGTGTTTAAAACAATAAATATACGCGGGATCCGAAAAACTTACTTCACTTCCTATGTGTTAAAATCACGACACACAATGCACAATATAGAAAAGTTCATTTCCTAAATTAGTCCTACCGGAATGCTAAACCCTCCTCGAATAGGGACCTCCTTATCCATTGCTCACAGTGCAAATCGTTAGGCCACCGAGATTTTTTCATAATACCAAGTGACGGGACGAACAAGTCATGCGCCTGGTGGTAAGCCACACGCCTATTCATAACAGTTGTAATGCCATGCAGAGCTTTAAATCGCAAATGTTAAGGTCTTAAAGATTAAGATCATAGAACGACTAAGAGCCTCTAAGGGGGCACTGCTACTGCGCCTATCACCCTGAGACATAAGTTGACAAGTACCATGTGCCTGTAATTTCACCAGCACCCTTATCTTTTCAACCCGGAACGCAGTAATGCTCACATTATTGCTTGGCGACAGAAATAAGTGAGATGGCAGTATTTTTCTGGACGAACTGTTTCACAAAGTGCTCTACTGCCACTTGGGTCGTCGTACATTTCTGTAATTAAGAAATCGAAAACTGAAAGCCACTGTTATTTGGCATAGATGTTTTCATTCCTTAGAGCTAAATTACGAAATTTCTTATATGCAGAACTAGAAAAAAAAAATTAAAAATTATGTCTTCATTTTTAACGCCCATATAAAACAAGTAGACCTGTTTTAGAACGTAGATAGCACATTGTATAAGTCTTCAACGGTAGCTGAAGGATTCGCCGAGGTTTAGTAATAGCGTACTTTTAATTGCCTCATTGTTTCTTTTCATCAACGGTATAGAAACAAAGATTTGCGTGTTAATAATGCACCTTAGATTATTGCCATAACCGCGCAGTTAGTTAATCGCCAACTGTTTTAAATTGTATTTATATTCATATTTAAATATGCAAAAACAATATTTACAATTTAGTAGCAGTAGAATTTAAATATTTGAAATAATCATGACTTCAATAGTTTGCAACTTAATTCCAAATTTGAAATAAATTTGTAGTCACTTGGTATGTTACACTTTGGCAACCGTTATTGTAGGCAATTAATTTATTTCTCCAGACCGTAGTCTAAAAAACAAACACGTTTGGAAATGAAACAATTCTTTCTCCGACTCGGTTATAGACCATAGGACAGTTTTAGTAGCAGGGGTTAATTTAGGTCTCAGGACGACGGGAGCAGTGACAGGGCCCCTCAGATCTTTGCGACTTAAAGCACTACAATTGTTATGAACAGGCGTTCGTTTACCACCAGGCTCACAACTTATTCGTCCCGTCACTTCTTGTCAATAAAATAATCTCAGTACAGAGTACTAAAAAAACCGACCTCAAAAGTACTTGGAATTACATATCATTACCAAGTTTTATTGAAATCGGTTACCGGAAAGCGCGTAAACCCGGATTCGTCCCCTAGTTCGCCACTATATGGGACTTGACACAGGAGATAATTATAATCGGTTCTCACTACTCAAAGTATATTGAGAGAAAAACGTCTTGAATTAGACAATAGCAAACTCAACCATTAAAATAATTGCTCCTTATAATAAAATTTAGGCGCTATTTATAAAAATGGATCTTCATGCGTGAACAGCCACCCTTTGAGATGGATGATTTTCTTTAAAATGGGACCACTTTGGAGATATTTTTCCAACAAAAAAAGAATCATGAAAATCGGTTCACAAATACCGGAGTTATCGCGTAACATAAATAAAAAAAAACAGTCGAATTGAGAACCTCCTCCTTTTTTAAAGTCGGTTAAAAACAATTTAAAACAGTAGGTAGTTGCTATGTACACGTATACCTAAGTAGTTGGATGTTAGTATTATTATGGTTACATGCAGGTAATTAATGTTTCGCATTAGTTTCGTGAACAATAGAATTAGATGGTACGACCAGTATATTGTACGAGTGTAATACCATAACAATGATAAGACAAGTATGGTTACGTATGATAACTCCATAAAAACGTAGTACTGTGGCTTGTATCTGTGCGTAACCGCCGCGTACCACAGGCACACATTCGCATAATTCCGCGCTGCATTATTTGCGCCTTTCATTATTTTGCATATGTGTTCGTCCGTACACGTCTCTTGGCGGGTAGTGCACACATACAAGCCGCGTTGCTTCTTTGTATGGTGTTACCGTACTTTTATTCCTTTATATATATTTATTAATCTTTTCTAGGGTTTCCTTTTTCCTGCTCTGCACGCGTTGACAGCCCACTGGGCACCACCAGCCGAGAAGGGCAAGTTTATTAGTGCTCTACTTGGTGGAGCCATCGGCACCGTGTTTACCTGGTCCCTCACCGGCCCTGTCATTGAATCTTTTGGTTGGGATTATGCGTTTTATATACCAGGTAAATAACTGCGTTCATAGTAAATACAAATATGCAAAAAGTACTTTACTTGGAAAAACTTGATTAGCGTTGGTTAATATTGATTTCGTCACGTTTGTTACTCACGGTAGGCATAGACTACAGCTCACCATTTACCATTATCGTTTTCAATTTCTTATTTTCCATTAATACCATCAGTTAAATTGCATGTTTAGTTCTGCGTTTAAGCACTTTTTGATTTTGTGACTCTACTCAAAGGGCGATTTGAGTGATATTTCTCTATTACATTTTAATCGACTCATATATTCATCTAAACATGAATCTGATGTTCTTTTTCAATATCTCAACTAAAATCAGTGATGGCTAATTCTCAAGTTAGTTTTCTCTATCTGATTTGGGTGGCAATGTTTATTACTTAAATATGATAGAATATTATCATGAAACATTATTTAATATTTCACGATAATATACTTCCGTATTTAAATAATAAAAACTGCCACTAAAATTAGGTAGAGAAAACTACATTGAAAATTACTCAGATAACAATAAAATTTTGTGGTCTCTTTCTTTCAAATCTTTATTTCTTTAGCTACGCAGCCCTTATTATGAAGTCAAATGGCACTACTAAAGTGTGACATCAGAAATAAGTTTTGTCGCATTTATTTGTAAATGCATTTATTTGTAAATGCATTTATTTATATCACAGCTGTTTCTGAATATATTTTCATAAATTAATATTAATGACAAGCATTTAGTTTTTGGTACATGTCAAATGTGCTATTGTATTAAACTTATATATAAATGTGGTTAACCATATTCACTTAACGTGTATAAAGTGTTATTTATTTATTTTATTGAATATCATGATGTTTTTACTGCCGTGATATTCTTATATATTTTTGTGAAAACACTCCACTAGCATGTAGCAGTATGAAGACAAGAGAAATTCCTTCGATCCTTAGCAGCCACGTTGCGGCAACAGAAGCTGATGAAATCCAGTCAGATCGAAGGAATTTTTTTTTGTGTTTTTTTCGATCTTTGCATCAATAATAGTGTATAAAGTGTATTAACTAAAATATAAATACCTAAGAAACATTACGAGGAACATTTTGTTGGCAGGTATGATAGCCATTGCATGGTGCGTTGCGTGGTGGATGCTCGTATATGACAACCCATTACAGCATCCGCGTATCTCCGATAGCGAGAAGAAGTACATCATTGACGCTATCGGTGATAAAGTGCATCAGGAAAAAACTAAAGTGAGTACGAGTATGTAATATGTTTAGGTTTTTGATTTCTCGACCTATTTTCTTCTCAATTTCTCGAGTTTCTCGAACTATTAGAGAACTTTTTAAAAATGTAAAAAAATCAATTCAGCCAGCTGTACATATAATCCTATCCTGTACAAGGTTAATGTTGCCTTGTTCGTTTTAATGCATCGCAGCGTTGCGTCGTCTGGCTGCGGTAATTTGTGGCAACCCTAAGGAGAACTATCAAAAGCAACAATGCAAAAATCGCGTAACTTTTATGCCAATTATTCAGTAATTTAAAAAGGTAATATGATTTTTCGACTTCTCGAGGATATGTTTCTCGTCTCGAAGTTGGTGAAGAAACTCTAAAAATGGCAATTATTATACGTGTAGCGGTACATTATAATATAAAGTAAATGTACAAATGTACAATTTCCAATGACTCATGAGAGTCAGTTTGTGTAAGTAATTAGTACCACTAGTTTCTTAATAACTTTAGTGTACCCAATAGTAGACCCCCCTCCCCTTCTTGTCAGCAAGTTACAGCACTACATCTATAATAAACGTGTGTATTATATATATTAAACACGCTTCGGCATCAAAGGGTGCAGAGTGCAGAGGTGGGAATGCATTCGTTATGAGGTTAACCCTTATGAGATATTTTTCAGCTCATATTTATTTATCAAGTTTCTAGTCACTCGTACGTGTTCTATCAATACCTTATTATAGCAAGTATTTATTGAATGATACTGTTATCACTTATTCTAGTTATTAACGTACCACTGCCCGTAAAAGTTGAAACGAAAATAATGTGACTCGATTTTTTTATTACCAAGTAACGGGACGAACAAGTCGTGCGCTTGCCTATCGATAACGGTTGCAGTGCCACTCAGAGCTTTAAATCGCAGGGATCTTAGGGGCACTGCCACTGTGCCCGTCATTCTGAGACATAAGTTGACAAGTCCCATGTGCCTGGTGGAAGTATTGCCACCTTACCAAGTTTTTGTCGCCAAGCAGTAATGTGCGCATTACTGCGTCCCAGTTTTGAAGGGTAAAGGGTGATTCACATTGGACCGTGCCGGGCGCGAGCCGTGTCCGAGGCATCCGAGGCTCGTACGTGCCGTACGATCTTCAATTAGACTAGGTCAGTCTTCTTCTTCTTAGCGTGTCGACTCTGACGTTTATGTATCTTGGTACATAAACGTCAGAGTCCTACTACTACTGGTCCTGACCAGTAATCAGCGACTGACACAGCATTATCAGCAGCGTTGTACAGATTCTCGCGTGTGCAGGTGTAGGGGCATGCAGGACAAGACAAAAGATGTGCCTGGGGACAGACACCACAAATACATGCAATCTGAGAGCTATAACCCCACCTGTACATGCTCTCCTTGCTTCGGCCGATTTGGGTCCGCAGTCTATTTAAAGACTACCAGGTGTGCCAAGGCAGATTATGCCCAAGAGGGATATGCTCCAACAGCGGAATGAGTGATGCCGTGGGGTATCTCTCCTTCCAGAGATTTATACGGACTTGATTAGTTTCCCCGCCCAGAGTTCAATCAATTAATTTTTCATCATTAGTCACTCTTTTTAAAATCGCACACTCGGACGGGGCGCGTACGACGCACTGGTGAGTGTTCACATTACAACGAGCCGAGGCGGGCCGGGCTGCATCCAAGGCTAGGACGAGCTCGGAAGCAGCTTGGGCGTCACTCGTCCGTGCCACATACGCGACACGTTGTAATGTTAATCACTTCATCTAAAATGTGCGCAGCATTTCCAATCCGAGCCTCGTACGTGTCTCGGCTCGCATCCTGCACGGTCTAATGTGAATAGTTCTTAAAGCACAGGCCACACCGCGAGCGAAACTAAGCTAAGTTAGCATAGCTCACGTAGCTGCATGCAACCAACTATGCGACTTTAGCTTAGTTCGCGGTGTGAACAGATGTATGAAAACATGCCGCGACTACGTCAACTAAAGCTAACTTAGCTTCACTCGCGAGACACGTGAGGCTTCTCAACTTACGTGTCAGGGTGACGGGCGTAGTGGCAGTGCGTCTCAGATCTTTGTGATTTAAAGCTCTTGAGTGGTAATGCAACTATTATGGACAGGCCTGTTGCTTACCACTAGGCGCACGGCTAGTTGACGCCGTCAATTGGTACCATAATAAAAAAGATATGTATACAAAATATGACATCTAGTTTTCGAGTTCTACGTCGTACATTCTTCACAACACGTAGCGACGATTTATGATCAAATTAAAATGTTCGCTATCGTTTGTTTTTTTTTAATAAGAAACAGGTACAAAAAGAAGAACTTAAATCTAGGCTGCTAACGGTGTAACAAAAACCATTTTTGGCATTCACCATCGCGGTAAATAAATCAAAAGTTACAAACTAAACGAATAAAAAAAAACAATAACAATAAAGAAGAATGCAAACAAAAAATAATATTAATAATTACGCTAACGTGACTCATTTGTACTATTACCTAAATAAATTCTTGCTATATAAATTGCAAGTAAAATAACAATACTGAAAAATAAAAAAGCAAAAATGTGGGTAGGTACTTAGAATAATAACACATAGAATGATAGTTTCATAAAAAACGAACTGTCACAAGTGAGGCAAAAATCAAATTCATGTAGGCGTAAGCAACTTGTATTTACGCTCGTCGGCACGCACACAAATATACAAATAATGATGCCATGGAATAACGTTTCCCTCAAAAGTGGGGAAATTGTATCTTGCTTAACTCATCGTTAAGTTAGAGGTGCCTACAGATTTGCTCGATTTTGTAGATCATTACTGTTGATTAGGTGCCTACAGATATGCTCGATTTTGTCGATCGTTACTGTTGATCGACAACATCAAGTAACAGGAATTTTCAAAAATTTATTTTTGGTAATCCTTATGGAAATGGCATTTATATCTGAATACACGAAGGCGGACACGACTTTTCCATTTCTAAATCCAAGATGGCGGACACGTCTTTTCAAATAAATGCAATATGGGAATCGTTTTCGTGGTATTCGAGGTGCTCATCACGAATATGGCATTTATTTCTAAATCCAAGATAGTGGACACGACTTTTAAAATAAATGCAATATGGGTATCATTTTCGAGGTATTTGGGGGTGCTCATTAAGAACATAGCACTAATTTCTAAATCCAAGATGGCGGGCACGATTTTTCGAATAATGGCAAGTTGGGTGTCGTTTTCAAGGTATTTGGGGCTGCTCATTCCGAATATAGCACATATTTCTAAATCCAAGATGGCGAAGAATTAGAAGAAGAAGAATTAGAAGTCTTGTCCGCCATCTTGTATTCAGATATATATGCCATTTCCTTATGGTTTACCAAAAATACATTTTTGAAAATTGTTATCAACCATCTTGGATTTAGAAATTAATGCTACATTCGTAATAAGCATTCTAAAACTCCTCGAAAACGTCTATAATTCTCAATCGTTACTGTCGATCGACAATGTCGAGCAAATCTGTAGGCACCTTATTAAATACTACCCAATTTTTATTTAACTCATATATGAACAAAAACCTACAAGCGAGTTTAAGTGTGACTATCGAATTTGAATATATAAATAGCCTGATATTATCTGTGGGTATGTTTACATGAAAAGTACACGATAACAATAAAGAACCTGAACCTGAAAGTTATTTATACACGATTTTGGAGAACTGACGGTGACTTTTTAGTCAGTGTTAGTTTCCTGAAATAATTTTAGTTAAGAACTTTTGAGTCTGGGCAAGACAATTTTTTTAAATGAGTGTATGATGAACAAGAATAATGATTTTTCACATGAAACTAATGAAGGCAAATACTAAATATATTTCGTAAAAATAGCTAACGTAAATTCCCTACTAACGTTGTTGCGGCGGTGTACATTTGTAGAAATTTTGCAACTGTCACGATTACGTAATATAATTATTTTGAAACAGAATAGCAAAATGGGGAGAAAAAACCCGTTACTTTGCAACATTTTCGTATCTTGTTGCAACGAAATTAATTTTCTGTTTTAGTGTAAAATACAAGTTGAAACGCGTTACTTCCTTGTGGAATGTGATGTTAGTGTCTATTTTATATTTGTCTGATCTATTTTTAAACCCAATTACTGCACATTTCGTCATTTTTAGCAAAAATTTTTGAGCTGTTCGCGGTGCAACTTGACCTTGAGCACTGAAAGCCCGCTCGCTCGTGTAGGCCCATAGGGCGCCCTACAATTTGCCTCACTTAGGGTATGCGGGCTAGGTTTCTATGCGTTATTATTCTAAGGGTAGGTATCAATCTCATCTGCTGTTTCTAGATTTACAATATTCACAGTGCACCAATACGTCACACATTCCAGAGTTATTTTTTTGTAGGCGTAACACACGGAAGTATTTTATTGCGTTCTTAATTTATTTTTTTATTACACTTTGAGTTATTTAAAAAAAATACTGTTTTAGTTTATGTTTAATGTTGTGTTCATTAATTTCAGTTTTGAGTTGTAAATATTGTAGTAATTGTTTTCCGTATAAATTTTTATACTTTGGTATTTTTAATGTAATTTTTGACGCAAATATCTTTCAATGACTAATTCAATTAACCAACTTTCACAAGAATTTTACACTTGACTTTCCAGGTTGCACCACCGTTGAAACATATCTTCACATCATTGCCTTTCCTTGCCATGGTGATTCTGCACTACGGCAGCAACTGGGGACTGTACTTCGTGATGACAGCGGCACCTAAGTTCGTGTCCAGCGCACTGGGCTTCAATCTGACATCGACTGGCACGCTTTCCTCACTGCCTTATCTCTCTAGAATGATTTTCTCATTGATCTTTGGTGCAATTGGTGACAGGTGAGTCTTTTAGACTTGTGCCACAGTACCGCCACACTGACTTGTGCCACAGTTGGACGGTCAGTTCAATACCGTCCCGCACTAAAAAGTTTGGCAATTCGTTTTTATGCCGAACCATCAAATTGTGGAACCAACTCCCGGCGCATGTATTCCCTCCCCTCTATAACATCGGGTCCTTCAAACGTAGTGTGAATAAGCATTTGGCCAGACCGGCAAAATGATAGTGACGGAGTGAAGATATTTGTGTTTTCCATCCGTTACTCTCATCTCTGGACTGTATTCGCACTTTCCATCAGGCGCGGTGCAGTCATTTTGCCGAGTCACAATAAAAAAATAAAAAACCGCAGTTGTACGTTAAATCTTACATTGCACTTTCATTTTGATACTTTTGATTTTTCGCTTTGTTGTGTTATGAGTATAAAACCGTTCTTAAAACTCATAAAATTCACCATAGCCTAGCCTATATCGAATGCGAGAGAGAGTGAGTTACCAATACTTACTTTATGCGTAACAAACAATTTAAAGACAATTTAAACTGACTCCGTGGGCGAACAGTTACTATGCTGGACTGCTACGCATAGATCGCGGGTTCGATTTCCGGGCCGGGAGAAATATTTTATAAGTGTATGTGTATGCGTTCTAAAATTATAAAAATTTCCTAGTGACTTAGAACAGGTCTTAGAACAACCAAAATACGTCACATGTCCTAAAATTACTATATACATATATTCTCTTTCTTTATTTTTGAACATACGAGCTCTAAATTAAATATAATGTATGTATGATGGTTCTAATTAACCTGCCAAGTTCTAATATATTTAAGCCTCTTGACACGTTTGGTCCAAGGTGGCCAGTTGGTATTTAGCTGAGCCATCCCTTAAGTGACTGCAGTACTCCATATACGACCGGACTTGTGCTTGGTATAGCTGAAGCAACTGTTCCGGTGTGAAGTAATGCCTCACGTTGGAAAGGATGCCAAACTTCCTTGCTGCATTTTTGGACATGGATTCTCCCTCCAGACTGGAGGGCCTGCCTACCTACACTAACTCCCCCCCCCCCCCCTCGGTTTACCTCTCGCCGGTTGAGTCGGCGCCTTGGGATCGGTGAAAATTCACCACGACGAGAACAGACACGCCTGCGTTTTGGTAGCATTAAATTTTACAAGGTTGGCATCGCCCCTATCGGAGACTGACTTGAGTGCCAAATTCAAACGACTAACCATGACCTCTCGACAACACTGGTTTTCTTCTCCACTGACCCTAGCATTAGTCAAGTACCTGTCCACAACTGTGCTGTCATCAGCATACCCAAAGGCACCTGGAATTAATATATCATTGCAGAGTATGTGACTGAGATAGGTTCCTTTGTTGGGCACAGGTTGCACGTTTGCAAGCTTCCACTTTGTGTGAAAACAGGAGACAACTCTTGCGCACAGTTACGCAGGACTATTGCTGGAATACCATCTGGCCCGCTAACTTTATTCATGTCTAGACTTCGCAAAGTCTATATACTATTGAAGTTTCATGAAGTGACTCTACACTGATACGGAATTTATAGAATTTATAAAAATATTTTTAATTATAAGGTAACTCTGCGTAAGAATATTTTGTAGTACTTCATTCTCATTGCAGAATCGTGAAACAGAACATAGTATCAATGACATTCATGAGGAAGTTCTTCTGCCTGTTCTCTCACATCGTGCCTGGTCTACTTCTCATCGCATTAGGCTACACTGGCTGCGCACCCATTCTCTCTGTCGCCCTTATCACATTCTCCATGGGGTCGAACGGCGCAGCTACATTGACCAATCTTGTCAACCACCAAGACTTAGCACCTAACTTCGCGGGTTCTTTGTACGGAATTGCAAATGGAATCGGAAATACTGCAGGGTTTATCACTCCGATGGTAACGGCTTATTACACTAAGAACGGGGTAAGTAAAACGCACGTTTAGACATATGTTTAGACTAAACTTAAACTAATTAGTAAAGTAAATTAAACATATGTTTACAAAAGTTATTTTCGACGTCCGGAATACATGTACAGCTTGGTGTCATTTTTTTATATATGTATGTTTTTAATTACTTATTGATTTTCCTTGGTAATTTTGAACCAAGGTCCCTGAATTACAAAGCAAAAATGTACCTTACAAATAGATATAATTGTACTTATGTGATGTATGTATGTATCACTAATTAACAAAATCGGACGATCTGCATCTCAAACTACGTTCGTTGCTGTCTAATACATGAAAGTACGCAATATCGCTTTAATTTGTTCAGTCTATTCCATTATAGTTATAGATAAATTAAAATATATTTACTTATTGTTGTTGCTGTGTACTTTTAGTAGCAGTAGAACTCCTTGTGAAAGAATTCGTCCAGGGAAGTACTGCCCCCTGATCTATTTCTGCCGGCAAGCAGTAATGTGAACATTATCGCTTTCCGGGTTGGAAGGGTAAGGCTCAATATATATTGCGGCGGAACGGAAAGGAAGCGAATTTTTGTAACGATATTGTACATAACATAATGAACTTTATGGTCAATTGTGTAACGTACAAATAGATACGAGCCAAAAGTCACGTCACGCTTCTTCTGCGGAAATCTCGCGAATGCTCGAAATGCTTCTTCTGCGGAAATTCCGCAGCTGCCGTCGGCGACTCTTGGCGGGACGTGCCGCGAAGGCAGGCGCAGTGTGACTTCAAACGTCGACGACATACTACAGCGTCAAGGCGCGGTCGCTGGAATGCTCGAACATTCTAGGGAATGCTCGAGCATTCCAGCTTATAGCATAGCATTCCCTAGAATGTTCGAGCATTCCAGCGACTGGGCGCGCCTTCTCGCGTAGCGGGGTGAAATTGACGCTTCCATTTCATTCCGTTTCGCTGCAATGTAAATGAAGCCTAAGGGTGCTAGTGAAATTATAGGTACATAGGACTTGTCAACTTATGTCTAAGAGTGATGGCCACTGTGGCAGTGCCTCTAAGATCTTTAACATTAAAAGCACTAAGTGGCACTGCAACTGTTATGGATAGGCGTGTCGCTTACCACCAAACCCACGATTTGTTCGTCCCGTCTCATGGTATTATAAAGAAAGTAATTTAAACAATGTTAATTATATTGCAGAATTCATTCGCGGAGTGGCGACCAGTGTTCTTCACAGGGGCCTCCTTATATATTGCGTCGGCGATCTATTTCATGTTATTTGGCTCAGCAGAAACTCAGTCGTGGAATTACATTACTCCAGAGCCTGAAGAGGAAAACAAGCGACCCAGTACTAACTCCACCGACACCACCGTCACGATACCAATTAAAGCATAGACATTTGATTCTATGATATAGGACGTTTCAATTCGCAGAAGAAAGTACCTTATTATGGGGAATTAAGGTAGATAAATTATGCACCAGATGATGGCAAATGAAGTAATTTTATAAGTATTTGGAATTTTTGACCGACCACTTCTGCGTCTGTGCATTGGTACGTGTAGATTAGAGCCGCAATGGAAACTTTTTTCCTTAAAACACCTTATTTTATTTAATTAAAAAGTGACGCAAAAATTTTTATGGGAAGTTTTTATCTATAACTTTTATTTAATTAATTAAATATTTTATTTAATTAAGTAATATTATAAACTTTTAAGTTAAGTGAAAGATACTTAGTAATTATGAAAAGAGCGATTTACTTTATTTTTGTTAGGTTTCAAACATACGATAACAATATGACGTGAGCGTTTAAGTTGATGAAAAAAATCAAATAATGATGACAGAATTTAACTTTTGTTTTAAAGTATATATCAAAATCACAAATTATTTGGTATCTCAAAAGCTTTTGATATAATTAATATTTTACGAGCGGCAATTAATGACATTTGCTGTGTTTAATAGAATAAAATACACAAATATAGACTCTGACTGTTGGTGTTAGGAAAGACATTTTTGTTTTGTTTTTGCATTGCTCTGAAAATTAACAACTTTTACCATGATGAATCGCCTAAAGTTAATATTTTAGGTGATTAATATTCCCTACTCTATATTCCTACATAGGCTCGATTTATATTGCGGCGGAATGGAATGGAAGCGAGTTTTTGTAACGGTATTGTACATAGCATAATAAGCTTCATTGTAACATACAAACTACATAGAGCCAAAATCTTCCGCGGATTGCGCGAGCATTCTCGAGCATGCAAGCGCATTTCGCGTATGTATCGTTACAAAAATTAGCTTCCATTCCGTTCCGCCACTATATAAATTGACCCTTATTCGAACAAAATGTAATAGAATCCTAGATATTTTGTGGTAATTTCAGAGGTAACCGTAATAAAAGTACTTCTTAGTGTAATTAATGGAATTTATAAGGATGTAGAGTAATTAAGTTAACACCCAATGATAATTTATGTCTGTCAGTTTCCTAAAGGCCTTTGGGTCTTCTGAAGTGTAAAGCAATATTTATAGTAAGTGGCGATATTATGGTATTTCAAATTTTATTATGCTTTGAGAACGCGTTGATATTCAAAGTATTGTGTATTGTCTCAACTACAGCTTAAGTCGTTTTTTTCGTATGATTTTTTCTTCTGTAAATAAATAATATTATCTCTTATTGTAACAAAAATAAATAGTTAAGTTTCGCTATTGAAAAATATGTCTTAAATTTGATTTTGTATATTATGACTGTGATTAATGAATTTATTTAAATTTAGCATATGAGTCGTTTTATTTGATTTCTAACTTATAACTTAATATAAATGGGATAGGTATATTAACAAAGACCGTTGGTTATATTTAAAAATCATGTAATATATTTTAGTATATGTCTATCATACAGTATATACACAGGCATACTTTCCTTTCTTTTACATCAATATAATATTTTATTTAACTCTTAAAACATACATGACACAAATATAGTTAAAGAATTACGTATTTTTAATTCAAGACGTCTACATACTCAAAATATATTTAATTTTTAATAACAAGGTGGCTGGTATTAATATAAAACATTCAACTACAACGCGTAATTATCAATTAATTATATTGAAAAAAAAAATCCATTTACATAATACCATTAACTTTGCAAACTACTCTTACGTCTTTGGAATTACATCACCAAAACAACTTAGGTTATGGTCACTTTAAACTTTTAAGGCGGGAAACACAAGACGATGGACACAATCTAGGGTTAAATTTAATGCTGTTATAATGACTTCTAAATAAATGTAACATACATTACACAACAAACCGTAAAAATAAGTCACAATCGGTATTTTACGAGACCGTCAGTCTACAAACCTTGTTCTTCAAACATCATGTTTTAGTTGCTCATCAATAATGTGCACCAAGGAGCCAATTTGCACGCAATCAAAACGACGACAGTCGAATGCAGGTTTTTAAACGTAAGATTCTGATTCCGTGTCGGATTCGGAACAGTCCAATGCTAAAACATTTTGTCTATTCTTGTCAGTACCATTTGGCGGATCTCTGTACACTGGAGGTACAGATTTAGAACGAGATACTTTGTCGTCTTTGTTCACATGCACAGGCTGGAACTTCTTAAGCACTCTTTGATATACCATTTTCCTAGGCGGAACAGGCGGCGGCATGAGAGTGGGCTTCTTGTTATTTTTCTGCTCCTCGGAAAACACCGGCTGTACGGCAGTCGGAGTAGCTTTATAGATATCAGACGAAAACATCGACGTCTTATCTTCGTGGAATATATCCCTCCTGCGATTGTACACTGATGTGTACAAGGGCTCTATGTATTGGGTGGTATAACAGTTTTCAAAGGAGTTCTCACTGGCGGTAGACTCCGTTGATCGGCTGTTGAATGAGTTCTGCGGCTGGTACAGTGTATCACTGCTGCCTGAATCACTCTGCACGATTATGTTGGCTAAGGATTTAGACTGGTTTAATTTATTGTAATTACGGAGTCTCTGTTTTTTGCTTTCTTCAGGGCTATTCTCATGCGAGTTGTCAACGTAGGAGTGTGAATTTTGTAGTGGATTCAACATGTTTTTCTCTTGTTCCCTGACCACTGAAGGGGCGGCGCAGTTTTTGGTGCACAAGTGTGCGGGGTCGGAACGTCGCTTACGGCAAAAGTGGCCAGCGTTAATTTCATAATTTCCGTTTCGATTTCGATCGACGTTATTGTTAGTGTGCCCGTCATCGTTTACTTCTAAACTCTTCGTCCTTGCTGCTTGACGAGACCAATCATTTCTAGTAAAAATGGTGGCTGCCGGTGTTAACTTCCCATCAGATTTGTTCTGTGAGGATTCTCCTTGATTCTTGTTCATTTGACCATATATATTTTCCGTGTTGTAATTATTCGATTTATTACTATAATTAGGGCTCTTCTTCTCCCAACCAGTGTAAACACGAGCATAATTGGAATTTGAGTTCGATACAATGTCCGAGTGTGTTTGATAGTGGTTTTGTCTTTGAATATTCTCTGTGAACATCGCTAAATCTTGAATATTACTGTAAACTATGTTTTCTTGACTAGACACAAAGTCGCGTTTGTTTTCGATTGATTCCTGTTTAGATTCTAATAGATTATCTGAACTTTTAGCTCTATTAAAATTTTTGTTATTTGTGTTTTTCTCTGGTTCTTGTGATTCAGCAAACATGCTGTAAACTTTTGAAGTGCGCGCTGCTTTAGAGACGTTACTTCTCGGTGGTTTTTGCGGCTCCATCCCTGTTAAGTATTTGGCTGGGCTTTGTCCGTAAATGTCAGCCGTTGAGCGTTGCACTGCCGTTTTGGTGACATAGTTCCCTTTTCTTTCCTCGTGACCATTTGAGATTCCAATATTTACTGATTTATGCATGTATCGATCTCCAATATACGATGAAGTGTACAAGTCCTCGTTGACAGTGTTGTAAATGTCTGTTTTATTCGAGTAAATGTTTTGTTGTTGTCGTTGAACTACTTGGGGTAGTCCATTGACGTTGTGATTATCGATGTGGTACCGTGCCACTACTTTGGAGTCCTGCTGCAGATTGCATGTCGGTGCTGACAGACTATGCAGAATGTTTCTCGGTGCCGGGCTATTACCTCCGTTGCTGTTAGAATCATCTTCTGACAAAGTCAAGCCTGAATCTCTGCTGAGGGATAGTTTCTCCTTCCGTGGCGTTGAAAGTTCCATGGAATCCAGGGATATTCCAACAGAGTGTAGGCTATCACTTTCTTCAGCGCCCGAGTCTAGAAGCGCGTTTGATGGTTCAGGAGACCCATTTCCAAGGAGACCGGTAATTTGTGGACCAAAAAGGGCTTCTGCTTTCACTATGAGGAGTTCAACAACCATTGGCACTGCTTTGGGAGCTTTATCACAAGGGGTACTGGGCCAAAGAAGGCTTGGACCGACACACACGCCGAGATTCATCGGGCACATAAGATTGATGTTAGATTTCTTCGCGATCGCTTGCAGGAGGCACACGAAATATGTTAGCATATTGTAGTGAGCTTTTGGCATCTTCAGCAGTAATGATCGCACGGCGGTTACTTTTTCTGTCTGAGGCAAACCTGAAAGACAAAGATATAATTTACATAAATCACGGCAGGTATGTGTTAGAAAATTTATTTCTGTCTTTTTTTTTAACTCTTTACTTATTTAATAGCTTTGATCACTATTGAACATGCCAGCCCCTTCAGAAAAACAATACATAAAGAAAACAGGTAAATAAAAACACTACCTAACTAAAACATGTACGCGGTAATACTTGTACGTTCAGACAAAACGGATTGAAACCACCGTTAAATCTACCAAAATACCCGTACCCTGATAGGTTCCGCACGAACCCACTCGAAGAACAGATGCTATGCATCTTCATATTTACTCCTAAATAGCTTACCCAGCACTTGTAGCCATGAGGGATACAGCTCCGATACAAGCAGCGGCTGTGGTAATGCTCTAAAGAACTCCTTTACCAACGCGGCTAGCAGCAGCACTGGAGCTCGATCCAACTCTGCACAGCCTTCAGCCCATGGGCCTAAAGTGTCCAGCTGTCATAAAAACAACATTATGAGAGTTTTATTCCTTGATGCAGTAAAGCATTTCCGCCTAGTTCTTGTTTTCATACTTTTAAGGACTTTGAACTGAGGTAGTATTCGCATGTACGCGGGTTTGGCATCATGATGCCTGCATTTAAAACAATGCAACTAGACAAGGCAGATAAAAAACAATAAAAAAATCATCTGAGAAAAATTGAAATATAACCAAATCGTATTACAGAGATTTCTATGAAACAACTCCACTAGCTTTATTGTGATTATTAATAATTACAAAGATCGAAAACTGGCTGCGGTGAAGGTTCTAAAATCTCTCACTGGATATCACTAGCGGCTCAGATTCAATACAAAAATCTTTAACAAAACACGGAGAATTTCGACAACTCGATAGCTTGACCCGTAGCTCAGTTGATAAGTGCAATATGGTCGTGGGTTCAAGTCACTTTAATAGTTTTCTTACCTTATCTCTAAGAAGTCTTAAAGCTTTAGCATTAGCACTTCTGCGGAAGACACCATGTGTCAAGGGTGCTGTGACCCTGAGCCGTTTAAGGGCATGAAGCAAAGCTGGTGGTGGCGTGCCATTGCAGAGTCGCGTCAGGGTCACTCCGAATAACCGCCCGCCGCGACGCAGCAGTCTCAAACCACGGCCTGGAGTCGCGCTGCCACTAAAAAGTCGAACATCACCATCAATTCCTATGTTAACACTTCACACATCTCAATATTAAGCACCGGTGTCATCTTAAGAAAAGGTTAAAGGACTAAACCGAGGTTGGTATCATAATCACTATATCTTCAAAATGACATGATCAGCACAAGGACTGGGTCGCAAAACGACCATCTATGCGAAATACTTTAACTTGCAATGACTTAGTAGCAAAACGGCCATATCGTTAAATAGACTACATGTTAAAACGACAAAGGTAAAAAGTTTAAAAAATAATTTAAAAAAAATTAGATAACATCACATACGTTGCACTAATCCCAAAGTAAGTAGCTAAAGCACTTGTGTTATAGAAACAACGACGATGTCACAAACACTCAGACCGGAGACAACATAGAAAAGTTGGTTTTTCTACACTGATCCGGCAGGGGATAGATAGAACCAGGGATCTCAGAGATGGTGACGCCATGAAAACGGGTGTGCAAGCCATTCGATCACGAAGCTCATGTGCAGGTATAATCAAGATCTCCTTTATGGTTAAACAAAGTCATACACTCATCACAAGTATTTAGGGATCGAGCATGTTTTTGCTAATAACTGAAAATCGTTTTTAATACTGCACACGTCCGTCACTTACTCGACTAGGGCCCATTGAAAACCAGCGTCAAAGCCTGGTCTTGGTTGTGACTTTAGGAGATTAGGACACTTGTGCACGTCACAGCCGCACACATGTTAGTACAGTATTATGTAACTTGTTATTTAAATGTTGTTACATTGTTTTCTTGTGTTATTTCTGGTTTTACTTATATTAGTCTTTGTTTGTGCCTTATTTTATATTGTGGCGTTGCAATAAATGGTTTCTATTTCTATTAATATGTTTTTTTAACACCAATGGATTTCTTTTTGTCATTTTGACTGCCTCCGTGGCCGAACGGTTACCATACCGGACTGCCACGCAGAGGTCCCCGGGTTCGATTCCCGGGCCGGGAGAAATATTTGTATGGCCTACATTTATTTCTCTCGTGAGTTTGGGTGTAATTTGTGGTTGTCTATGTGTGTGTCCATGGCACCCGCGACACAGGGTTTCCCTAGTGCGGGGCTATGTTGAGTGTGTGCGTTATTATTATTATTATTATTTTTATTTTCAAAATCAAATTATGAAATAGATAAAAAAAGTCCATCGGTGTTAAACAAAATTCATTAAAAAAAAACCAGATTTTTAGGAATTGGCAATAACGTGCTTGATCCCTAGATACTTTTGATGTGTGTGTTTTATTCGAAAATGACTTAAGAGCCCGTACTTCGGTGCGAATCCAACCGGTTCTCTTACATAAGAAGCAAACGTTATAATAACTAAATTATCACAAAAAATAATTGTAACTTTTTTATAAAAAGCAAACCGACTAAATATATTGAAAATCATTAAACGGCTGAAGTGAATTAATTACAATTATGAATTTTACTTACTTTTTTATACTCTGGTTTTTTTTCTTCAATTCGAAGACCAGCCCGCACGGATTATTTTTGGAGTTGACATGCTCCAAGTCGAAACCGTCTTCATTGGACAATGTTTGTCTTATTCGCGACATCTGGAAATAAAACAATTATTGCGTGAGATAACGCTCTCAATCAAAATGGTTTTATTCTTCAATTTCATAAAACAACAAAATATCCAAAATATGTTATATTATATTCATCATCATAATCATAACACATGTATGTATTTCTGCTGAGAATGGGACACCTGTAATGTGATTATTATGGCTTTATTTGCAGTTATCTGGTTACGTGTTAAGGACATTAACGTGTACTCAAAAAGTTTTATTTACCTCTTCGGCCATGTAAGTTGTATTACGATGTCTCCCCCAATAAACGCAAGTGATAAGTAAGTAGTACAGCCGTCCGAAGTGACAACACATTTTTTGAGATATCATAAAAATCACAATTCAGTTTAAGAATATTGAAATGAAAATGACTGAAACATTGAAGTTTAATAATATCTCAGCTATGCATCATGAGGGTTACTTCCGATAAGTTGAACACGTTACCTAATTTTAACTGTTTTAAAAGAGAATTTTGTGCTCTATCTTTTTCTATTTGAAAAGGATATTTGACCACTTGTCACTTAGTCGAGTTTTAGTTAGTGGATGGCTATCTAAAGTACATGTAGGTTCAAAAACACTCGGCAAATAAGAGGCAAGTGTTCGACCAACTATGGTACTACTGCCCTGTTAAATTCCTTAATAATTGTTACTGGTGTAATTACAAGTACAATGGGACTTGTCAACTTATGTCTCAGGGTTACGTTCGCAGTAGCGGTGCCCCTTAGATCTTTGCGATTTAAAGCTGCAACAGGTGTGTTGCTTACCATCAGGCGCAAGACTTGTTCGTCCCGTCACTTGGTTTCATAAAAAAACTTAGATGATAACAAGTCATATGGGTCCAAAATATGACAACTACATTGAGTTTTATGCATTAGTGTTCATACCTGAATGGCATGTGGTCTTTCGATTCCGTGCAGCGGAGTGGGTGGTGCGTCTCGAGCAGTGCGTACACATAGCGTAAATTCGGTGGCTGCTCCCAATCGACCTTCCGTTTCATTCTCTCCTTCACCTTCGGCCTCACCCTCGCCTTCTGTACCTCCGTTCTGAAGAACGTGTAACGCTTGACGCACTACGCATCTGGCGCTCATTTCTGGACCCACGGATACCGTTTTACACTGAAAATATAAAATAGTAATATTTAAACTCGTTTGCAACAAATAAAAATCATATATTTAGTCATAGAATTCAGTTTTATTTCCATTTTATTTTATTATTCGAATTAGGGACTTTGTTGACAGCTTTGGCAAAAGAAAATAGTTACTTACAAATTCAATGCTTGTTGTGAAGTCTTTATAGAAGATCTGGATGTTTGTCGACTTTGGTTCCGTGGCCAATTGCGCGTTTAGTGCATTTTGCACTTTCCTGTAATAACAAAACGAAGCAGTGAGAACAACAATTCATATAAACGTGTACCAGTAGATGTACTAATTGTGTTGGGATACCGTACCTGTACCAAGTATCGCGCGCAGCTTGCGTAGGGTAGGTGGCGAGATAGTTGGCAACCCCCGTAGACGTGGGCCAACCAATAAGGAAGCCTGTATCATCACCATCAGGGAGCGATATCCATAATTCGGCCAGTCTCACACTCTCCTTCAATTTGAAGCAATTTGTGCCTCGTGCTTTGCCCACGAGCAGCAGGTCGCTGAATAGAAACAAATGACGATCTAGCGGTGGGGACGTAGTGCCCAACGGGCACAACTGGACGGGCGCCTCCATGATGAATGTCCTAGGAGACAACGAGCTGCTATTGGGCGTGACGATGTCCAGACTTGGGCGTTTGCGAAGACTTTTTGATTTCTGTAAAGAAAAGGACAGTAGTGCTATAAATAAGGCGGGAGTCAATAGTGGCATAGCGATGATTTCTGCCGCTCGGGGCCAATCTTATATTTGTTGTCTTCTCTATTTTCACGATTACAAAAGTAGTTCGTTCTGACATGGTTCTAACTGGCTCGGCTCGATTGTGTTGTTGTATTGTTCAGGATCATGGTTCGTTTTCTTAAACAATGGCATTTATTTTCTAATTTTAAGTAAAAAAGAATATTTTGTTAAGTCAGGGCTCGCCGCTGCCCCCAATACTGTGCCGCCCGGGGCCATGGTGGTCAACCTACATCTGTACGTATTTTCAAATTTTATGAATAGACTTCAAGACACTCAAACTCCAACAAGTTTTAATTCAAGAAAATATTACGTTGTGCCAGTAAAAAAGACGATTAATTTAAACCTATACTTAGTATTTGCATTTTTTGAGAACACGCTTCACGACATCCAAACCTTAATAAGTTTTTTAAAAATTCGTTCTCTAAATTGAGATCGATTAAGTGGTTGAGTTACTGCGGCCGCTTGTTATTGTATCGGAGTTACGAACCTGAGCATGGTGCGAGGCAAGTGCAGCAGGTGCATCCGCATCGTGCAAGGCGAGGTAATCGTGTGGAAAGAGATCCTGCACGCGCTCCAGGTCTGATAGTCGCGCAGCACGTCGCGGAGCGCAGCCTCCGCCCACCAGTCGCTCATATTGCGCCAACCGCTCGATCTGAAACAAGAAAAACATCCTGAGTCTATATATAAAACATTCACACTCATTGACTTACAATTACATGGACGTCGGGTCCGCGCTAAAAAGTGTCCGAACTTATAGGGCGTTAAAATCGTATACAGAGCGTCATTCACGCTTTAGTCTTCGTTTGTTCGACTGACAGCGAAGCAAGCAAAATTAGACAGTACTGCGGTGACATTAGAATTTAAATTCAACGTTTTAGCTTTTTCATATTCCTTTACACGTCACTACGTTTAAATAGGTTGACTTGGGACATTTTTTCGTGGTTTTTGTATTAGACCCGTCGTCCATTTATTTGTAAGTCAATGTTCACACTACATAACTGATATTTTTATATTATTGTTGTTATTCGATTTAATTTAATTTAATTGATTTAGTGTCTGATTGTATTAGTATTAGAATTTTATTTTTACTTTTTTGAAATCGTGATGTTCAATTTTTATGACAGGCCATGGTATCAGCGAGGATTATGTGATTAGCATAGTCCTCAGATGCTGAGTCATGGACCTTTTTGACATGCTTTTTTTATGCTTATTTGTTTTAACTTTTTTTTTCAATTCTTTTTCCTACTTTTTCTATTGTTTTTTTTGTATTTATGAACGAATTGTTTAATATTTTATAATTGTTTGTATTTTAAAATGTATTTTGCATGTCAAATAAGGACGATTTTTTAAAAATATTTTTATATAATACTACAAAGTAGACCATATACCACCACAAGGTCGGGCATTTCTGCAGTCAATGCTCCTCAAGATCTTCGAGGTCATCAGAATGAACTAAGAATGAACCGTCCTAGATAGTTGTTTAGTAGATAGGCACATCCGAGTATTTACAATTTAAAGAGTCACGCTCTTAAGCGGAAGTGTCGCTAGTAATAGAAGAACTTTTAATAATACATAATTTATGCACCGATTGTACACGGTAATGAGAAAGTTGGAGTTAACACAATAACAGTAAGTAACAAAAAATATCCTTTAACGCTAGACAAACCCTTGAGAAAATAATATACAAACTCAATATGCATTGAACCGAGTATAACAGTCTATTAAGTTTCTATTGAGAAGCAGCGATTGTAATATAAAATTCTCATCGCATCGTACGTGTTCTTGCGACGTCGACGTCCTGAGGGTAACTTCCCGGGCGCCTCACGACGAATCCCTCAAGCGTGTCCACCACAATACTACCTTATTACGAAAGGACAAAGGCCCGTGAGAAATACACGAACACCGTATCTATATTTTAAGGTATTTCTTCAACTGCCTACATACTTGTAGCATTAAATGATACAAGTGTCGGCAGTACACAATAACGAAGTCACGTACGCACGATTGCGTTAGCATTTGGGAATAAATGCAGAACGCATTCGAATGCACACTAAATTATCTGCACAAACTGCGAGACAAACGATCCCCTTAATCAAAATTTACATAAATTTAATTGGTTTTTTAAAGCGGTAAAAAGACTTCGACTTCTTTGAATGGTAGTGAATGGTTTCGATTGAAGTGGTCGTGTTCAGTGAATCGTAAAATTATGCATTTGAATCACGACCAGCATTAGTCGTCGTAGCGTGCTACCTGACTCCATTATGTTTTTTGAACTCGATATGAGCTTTGCTTATCATCATCTAGTCTTTTGTAAGATTACAAAGTCAAAATGATCGCTTTCATTAATCACGGGATGCAAGTAGAGCGAATTTGACACGCTAAAACATTTTTTTTTATCTTAGTGTTAAAGGATAATTTGTAGAGGTATTAACGGTTGTTAAAGTGCAAAAAGTAAGTAGTAAATAGCCAAACATTGTGGAGCTATTAAGATCTCATTGTGCGGACACGATACAAAATTATTGTACTGTAAACAATCATGTCAACGTGCGCGCCGACGCGATCCAACGCGCTCTCGACGATTTTCATTTGAATGCGCAACTTGACATAGACGTGACATAGACCGTTAGAAGTTTAAACTTGTGTGATTAGTGATTACACCAACAGCAGTACGATACTGCGTCATTTTAATTTGATAACAGTGAAGTGTTAATGTGTTAGCACTTGAGAAATGTACTTTTAAGCATTTTGACAGCTGTAGTTATGAATTTGGAGAAGTGTTAGGTTTGAGTGCACGCTTCGCTAGTTCGCGTTGACATGTGCACGATAGGAAATGTACACTGCAAAAAGTTAACATAAATTAAAGTCTTTCGTCATTCAGTAAATGAAAGATTTCCTGCTTAAATCAATGAGATAAGTACAATTAAATCAACCCGCATTTAATGTGTTCTGGGTATTTAAAAAAATGAGCGATGCGTAAAGAGGATTTGAGCTTAGTAAACAAAAGGCAAATATTTGTTCTTTTCAAGATAAAAAACGGTCAAAAGGGAATTAGTTGAAAATCTTTTCTTTAGGCATTAAAACGCCATTTGTTGTTGCATTGTTTGCTCCTCAATCACCACCTGTGAGCTTGGGTAAATACTGGGAATTTGGAGCAACAGATAGACATGGAAACGTTATCTGTGGACGTGTTACACGGAATTGCACTTTCTAAGTCAAATGTTTAGTTTAGAGTAAGTGAGGACGTAAGTTAGATAAGCAAGTGAACTGTCCTAAAACGAGATAACCCGATGCGAGTGCGTCGCCCATGCTTTATGGACTGAGCTTTTACAAATTTATCATTATCTCCGTCGTTTCCTGTTTTAGCGGCCACGCCTTAGGTCGTTAGCTTTTGCTGTTTCACTCCTATACTAACTTATTGTCTTTGGGTTCTAATTCGCATATTGTACAAGATGTAACATGTTATACAATAAATAGACATCAGTTTACAATACAGACTGGGTGTGTGGTTTGCAAGAAGTGAAATTTTAAGACTCAAAGTGTAATTTTGTGAAGTTACAAAGAACAGTATTTTGTAAGATCTAATGTAGCGTTAATTATAACCAGTTAACCATAATTAGCGCTTCGGACGGGGCTTCTAAACGCCGTGGAGAATAACACATTGTTCTCATTACCACTAATATCTGTATTGTGTTGCGCTATACAGCCTCACAAATTCACAAGTTATCATTTAGGTCATTAACCTACTTCGCCAACTTTCATGGTGTTTGATATCAATTTAGCGCAATGGAGCTCAAAGATTTACATAAGATGCAAAATAAATATACAAAGAAAAATTTTGTCGACCTGGTTGGACCTGAACCCACGTCCATGCTGCACCGTAACATTAACTCTGATCATCTGAGCCACGGGTCGTCGAATTCTCCTATATGTTTTTGTTATAGATCTTTGTATTGACTTTTTTCGGCATTCGTAGCCGCTAGTGACATCTAGTAAGAGATATTTGAGTAACCTTCTCACCGCAGCCGATATCTTTACAGGTATCACAACTGACGCAGATGTCGCTTTTCGATCAAAATGGATTTTATTGAGATTTTTTGTGAACCAATTCCTCTAGTTTTGTTATGATTACGAATATGAAAGTCAAACACTCTCTTTTTTTACGTCTCTGGTACGTCCACTACCACCAACACTACGGTGCATGGTGGACGTGTGAAGTCCCACCAGGTCGAAATCCCAATATTATAAAAATTTTAACAAAATATACAGAAATGTGTTGTATAGTAATTGGCGAAATAGTTTCCATTATAATAACTAAGTCGTGCATAACTAACGTGGCAAATTACGAACTTTAATCTTGACCTTTCGTACTTTATGCAAACAAACAACTTTTACTAAACGGTATTTATACAAAAGTGAAATGTGTTATCAACAATCGTATCGAAGTCTCGTTTTCACCAGGATGAGTCGACAGTTCGTGTAGTATCGGTTACAACAATGGTCGGATGTGTGTCACCGCCTTTAGCCATCCCGCTGTGTGCCGACCTTTACTAAGAGATGTCACTCAGATATCAAAGTTGACTATGTGCTAGTGTTGCAGTTCCGGTTGCAGTGTTACATTAAGAAAAGAATCTCAAGTTAGATCTCGTGCGTATTTATAGACGATTACACGTTACACTGTGTTGAAACATATAAAATATTCAGATAACAAATTTCCTCCATGGTGAGTCACCGTGTTCCGTGAATTTATAAACAAGTAAATGCATACTCCTGTATTATGAATCGTTAATAACCTTTAGCAGTAAACCTTCAACCGATATTGTCAAGCAATAATTTCACCTGATAATGGCGCCACGAGAGAAACGAGCTCACTCGATAATTACGTCTGCATTTTTTGCCGATTGGCGAAAATGGAGAGTTTCAATCACGCTCGAATCTGTGTTATGTTGTTTTGTTTTTTTTTTCGCTGCAGTTATGTTTATAATTGATTCAAGGCAAACGACGCATTTGCAGATTGCTGATTTGACCCGATTTCTATCTGGTTCATATGAAAGTTACCATTTGCGAGTGCAAATTGCCTTTCGACACTTAATTTCCTCTTTAATGTTGTTAATTTCGTCCTCTTATTTCTTTGTGACAAAAGGTGAAAGAAGGTGTTATTTATCATTCATTGTGGCTTAAAATGTTTTCATAATTTTTATTTAGATTCACAAAAACCAAAACATAAGCCGTCCTTATCATAAACAACGTAATCGACATTTTTAACAAAATTGAGTTCTCAGCTACCTGGAATCAGCAAAACGAGATCTACAACCCCCTCCTAATCGATTTTTTAATATCTTATTTATTTCAGTTTTATTGCTAAGTAAAATCTGCGTTATTGATATTTTTCAAAGAACAAAAAAAACTAAGTGCCATTATCTCGATAGTCACCAAAATGCTAATGCGTTGTTTATGACATAATAATAATATAATATACATATATTATAATAGGTTTCTCACAGATGGCGCTACGGCACATACGGTTCTCCTGTGGGTTACATTCAGTCAGAAACAGTAGGTGTAGTGCTCTGCATATTCAGTACAGTACAATGCATTCAGGGTGCTGATGGGGCTGCGCGGTCTTGTAGCGCGTCTGCGGAGGCACGTGTCGAT